TAAGCTACATAAGCTAGACATAATATTGTTGTACAGATAACGGGATGAATTTCTTCCCATGAGAAACTCCTGACAAGATGGAGGTTTCCCCTAGACCTGTCCTTCCACCCCTGTCTCTCAAATCCCTCTCTCCTTTGTTTTCCCCTCCTTCTGGGAGGAGGTGCTTTGTGTTACCGTGCTTTGTATGACACTGTGCCCAGACATCACAATCTGTCAAATGGCTCGTTCGCTGCAAGTGATGGCTAAATAAACATTGATTGCTGTTTCAAAGGATAATGTTTGAAATGGCTTTATAAGTCAAACATTCAGAATTTCCTTGCTTTGTTGTCAAAAGATGTGCCTTTTGATATCACACGTGGGGTCACTCCATTACAGTTTGATGGCAACTTTTGGAGGAATGATTGGAGCTGTACTCAAGGCATTGGATGGACGCTCAGAGCCCCAAGGAGCATCAGGCTGCTCACCCAGACCTAGACTGAGTGGCAGGAGCTCTACCATGTTTCCCGAGGCCTTGCTGTAAATGCCTGGGACTGAAAATGGGACCTTCTGTTTGCCAAATATTTGCTCTTCTCCTGTAATGCGTATAGCAAATATAATAGACATTTGAAGTGTTTAGTGGCTGTCAAGCTTTTATTTTGGATTCCATCTGAAAATGACATTTCTTCTCCCCTAAAGCATTAAAATCTGTGAAGCATTTGGACAGTTATGTAAAGACTTCATTTTTCACTAATAAAGATCTTTTGAATAGTATAGCTCTAATCTAAGCTATATTACACTGATATATTCTCATAGGCTGTTTTTGTTTCAGAAGATGCCAATGAGAATATAATACTTCAAATGCTGCAAGCTTAGCCTTATAGTTACTATAATAATTATAAAGCTTAGTCTTATAATTATAATAAATGCTGCATTTATTTTTTTTAATTCTCTTTTATTTCCTCTAGAAATCTCAAAGTCACAGAATGACGTGGACAATGAGAAATACCTTCTCACAGCAAATTATGGGCAACAAAAGGATCCAGTGAAGGAAAGGAGAAGCCTATCTGATCCTGCTATTGATATTCCAGCTAGGGTACTCAAATATACTTTTGCCATTTTTCAGATGACTGTTGAGATACAAAATATTAATGGGAGTGTTGGGCATTCTGTACTTGAATCAGGATCAAATTCTGTGTTTGAATCAGGTTTTCTTGGTTATAAAAACACAACAGGTTCTGTGAACTGAATAAATTATGCAAAATATGGAGGTTTACTGTATCTCAGTGTTTCTTAGCCTTGGCAACTTTAAGCTGTGTGGACTTCAACTCCCAGAATTCCCCAGCCAGCATGCCGGCTGGGGAATTCTGG